TGGAACAGGCTTCCAAGGTAAGTGGTGGAACCAGTAAAAAATGTGTAGATGAGGCCCTTAGTGACATGGTTTAGTGGTGAATTTGGCAGTCCTGGGGAAATGGTTGGACTTGATGATCCTAAAGGTCTTTTCCAACCTAAATTCTATGAAAGACAAGTTGCTACTGGAGAGCAATTGTGTTGTGCATCACTTGGTTTCTGTTTGTTTGATTCCTCTCTTCCTGTTTATTTCCTATTGTTGCTATGATTCCTCTTCTTATATTTTACTTTATCTCAGTTATTAAATGGTTCTTACCTAAACCCATAGATTTTATCTTTTTTTGATTCTCCTCTCAATCCCACTGGTGAAGGGGGACAGTGAGCAAGGGGCTGTGTGGTACTTAGTGGCCAGCTGGGGTTAAAACACAACAGTCCTTTTTGGTACCCAGCATGAGGCTTGAAGGGTTGAGATAACAACAGATCTGTGAGAAACTATAGACTAGGGTATTGTTTATTAAGATATATGTTAAGCCCAAAATAAAGGTTAGGCAACAAAAAGATATGAAACCGCTTATGCAAATAGCCACCGGACACAGCTTACGCGAGATAAGATAACCGCAAACGCTTACACCAACTAAACCAGAGACCGCTTATGCTAACATAAGATAACTGCAAGATATTCCAGGAACTGGCAGAAATAAGACAAACCACTCCATATAAGGACATAGGAGTAGAGGGGTCAAAAGAGGAAGACTTCTTACTTCGGCCTCAACGACCACCAGGAGGCAGAAAACGACCCCCTAACAACAACTGAAGCATGCGCAGAGTACCTCCACTACCTCATGAACACGGAAGTAAAGATGTATAAAAAGGGGGCTGTTTGAACTGATCAGCACGGCAGTTGGCGGAGCGCAGACTCCCCTGTCGTCCAGCGCTGGTTTTGCTCATATTCTACTTGCTATAATTAATAAAATTTTAATTGGATTTTGATCCGTTGTGGTCTCAATTTATAACAATTTCTGGTGCCGTGACTCGGATAAGGAACGGTGGGCTTTGGTCCTCCAGGGAGGCGCCCCGCGACATTTCGCGGCCCCGCGACCAACAGCTTACCCCAACCTTACCGACGAACCTAAATTCTAGAATAATGAGCAAAGGAGAAACCGGTAAAATCCCATAAAATTCTGTGCACAGGAGTCCGGACGAAGACGCAGGACGCGTAAGTATATTGCGAATTTGTTCGCGGGTTTGCCGTTTGGGCGGGATTGGGTTTCCTGGAATATAACGAATGAGAGGTTCGATATACTGAACCAAGCGAGTGTGGACCCTTAAGTACTGCGTTTCCCATCTCCCGCGAGGGACTGGGCCAGGAACAAGGGGGAGCGAGTGAGTGTGTGTTTGAGGATATTCCAGTAGATGGGGGCGAAGGGCAGCAAGCCTTCGACTCCCATGGGAAGGGTACCCACTCTACCTAAGAATACCCCTCTGGCATATATCTTAGACAATTGGAGATATTTCCCTGGAACCCTAGGGAAAGATAAGCAGAAAATGATAGAATATTGTACTAAGATATGGGGAGGGAAGAAGATTTCTAAAAATGTCTTTTGGCCAGTCTATGGGTCAGAAGAAGATTGGGTAAGACAGCAATTAAACCTCTGGGTTAATAATAAAAAACTCCTTAACCCGGAGGAGAGTCAATATGCGGAAGTGTGGCTAGAAAGACCGGGAGCTAGACTTTATCCGCTGAATGAAATAAAAACGAAACAAAAGAAAAAGAAGGAAGAGTTAGACGAAACCCTTCTAACCCCCCCTCCTTACATTCCTCCTCCTGTTCCCGCAGCCCCTCCAGAGGTCCCCAGAGCGCCCACTCCCCCACCAGAATCGGAACAAGGGTCTCCCCCTCCTCCTAGACGCGTAACTAGAAGTCAAAAAGGGGCAGCTCAGATGTACCCCCTAAGGGAAATACCCATGGGGGGACCTCAACCTGTGATCGGATATATTTCCGTACCCTTAAACTCGGCTGACCTACGAGATTTTAAAAGAACCGAGATGGGAAACTTAATTGAGGACCCACTCGGAGTGGCAGGAAGACTAGATCAATTTTTGGGACCAAGCCTTTATACTTGGGATGAGATGCAATCTATCCTTGGTCAATTATTTACTACCGAGGAAAGAGATATGATTAGACGAGCAGGAATGAGACTGTGGGATGCTCAACATGCCCAGGGACCTCAAGCAGATATTAAATGGCCACTCCAAAGACCTAATTGGGATAATCAGGATCCGGTGCATAGAACTCATATGCAGGACCTGAGAACTATAGTAATTCAGGGAATTAGAGGAGCAGTACTCCGTGGCCAAAATATCAATAAAGCATTTAATGAAATGCAAAAGAAAGATGAAAGCCCTACTGAGTGGCTGGAACGACTGAGGAAAGCCCTTCAGCTGTACTCTGGGGTAAATCCAGACGACCCTTTAGGGCAAGCGCTCCTCAAAACTCAGTTTGTGGCAAAATCATGGGAAGATATCAGAAAGAAGATTGAAAAGTTAGAAGACTGGCAGAATAGAGGGTTGGATGAATTATTGAGGGAAGCTCAGAAAGTCTACGTAAGGCGGGAAGAAGAGAGCAGCAAGCGACAAGTAAAAATGATGGTAGCAGCGGTCAGAGAGGATCGCAAAGGGCGAACTGGTGAACACAGATCTGCTAGGACGAAACAAGGGAACGTAGTAGTAGAAAAGGAACAGAGATATTGTTTTTACTGTGGAAAGAAGGGACATATAAAAAAGAATTGCAGAGAAAGGATCAGGGATGAGGAAATATTGAAAACGGAATAGGAGAGTCAGGGGCTCTATATCTTAGGGGACCAGAGTCATCATGAGCCCTTGATAAAATTAAAAATAGGTCCCCATAAACAAGAGTTCACCTTTTTAGTAGACACTGGGGCTGAGAAATCAACCATTAAGCAACTACCTGAGGGATGTAAAGTGTCCCCTGAAAAGGTACAAGTAATTGGGGCAAAAGGAGAACCCTTTAAAGTAAACAAAATCAAAAATGTGGTATTCGAAACTGAAAATAAATTTGGAATGGGTGAACTCTTGCTCGTCCCTGAAGCAGAATTTAATCTGTTAGGACGAGATTTAATTGTTGAATTGCAATTAGAAATTAAAGTAAAAAATCAAGAGCTAACAGTGTCCGCTTATCCTTTGACCGTGGATGATCAAAAACAAATTAACCCTGATGTCTGGTACTCTCCGGACACAATTAGTAGACTGGAAATTCCACCGATTAAAATCCAAATTTCCGAACCCCACATATCTGTGAGGGTAAGGCAATATCCCATATCCCTAGAAGGACGGAGAGAATTAAAACCAGAAATTGATCGATTGTTAACACAATGAATCTTAGAGCCTTGTATGTCACCCTTTAACACCCCCATTTTGCCTGTAAAGAAACCAAATGGGAAATATCGGCTTGTACATGATTTAAGAGAAATAAACAAGAGAACTATCACCCGGTTCCCTGTAGTAGCAAATCCATACACACTGTTAAGCAATCTAGGACCCCATAACTCCTGGTATAGAGTGGTTGATTTGAAGGATGCCTTTTGGGCCTGTCCACTGGCAGAAGAATGCCGTGATTATTTTGCCTTTGAATGGGAAGACATAGAGACAGGCCGTAGACAGCAATTGAGATGGACTGTGCTTCCCCAAGGGTTCACTGAGTCCCCTAATCTGTTTGGACAGGCCCTGGAAGAGCTCTTAAAAGAATACCAGGTACAAACAGGGAACGTGCTGTTACAGTATGTAGATGATCTGCTCATAGCAGGGAATAATAAGGAGGATGTAAGGAAAGAAAGCATTCGACTTTTAAACTTTCTTGCACAAAAGGGCCTACGGGTATCACAAGAAAAGTTACAATTTGTGGAGGAAAAAGTGAAATATCTGGGACATTATCTATTTAACGGCCAGAAGATATTAGATCCAGAGCGTATTAAAGGAATTCTGGAATTACCTATGCCTGTCACTAAGAGGCAAATTCGGCAGGCATTAGGGCTATTTGGGTATTGTAGGCAATGGATAGAGAACTACAGCTTTAAAGTTAAATTCTTATATGAACAACTGTCTAAAGACAAAATACCCAAGTGGACTCCTCAGGATCAAGAGCAGTTTGCCAGTCTCAAAAGGGAGCTAAGTCAAGCACCGGTTTTAAGTCTCCCAGATTTAAAGCGGCCATTCCATTTATTTGTTAACATACATGAAGGAACGGCATTCGGAGTATTAACTCAGGAATGGGCCGGACAAAAGAAACCGGTGGCATACCTATCAAAGCTGTTGGACCCTGTGAGCAGGGGTTGGCCGAGTTGTTTACAAATCATTGTAGCTGCTGCCTTATTACTTGAGGAAACGAATCGCATTACCTTTAATGGAGAAGTTGTCTTATATGCGCCTCATAACATCAGGGGAGTGTTACAACAAAAAGCAGAAAAATGGCTTACAGATAGCCGATTATTAAAGTATGAGGGAATACTTATAGAATCCCCTAAGCTATCTTTGAAAACTATTGGAGCGGTTAACCCCGCTGAATTTTTGTACCCAGGAGAAGGTAATGAACTATTGCACAATTGTTTTCAAACAATTGAACAACAGACACGCATTAGGCCAGATTTAGAAGAAGAAGAACTACAATGTGGAGAAGTATTATTTATAGATGGGTCATCACGAATAGTGGAAGGTAAACGATTGTCCGGATATGCCATCGTTAAGTTGGAAAAAGGAGAATTTAAGACAATAGAATCAGGCCCCCTGAGTGCCAGCTGGTCGGCTCAAGCCTGTGAGTTGTATGCATTGTGAAAAGCATTAGTGTCACTGAAGGGAAAGGATGGAACTATATATACAGACTCACGCTATGCATTCGGAGTAGTACACACTTTTGGAAAAATATGGGAGGAAAGAGGATTTGTTAACTCACAGGGAAAAGAACTGATACACCCGGAATTAATTCGGCGAGTTCTGGGGGCATTGAAAATGCCAAATAAAATAGCAGTTGTACATATAAAGGGACACCAGCGAGGTACAAGTTATCAAGTTAGGGGAAATAATGCAGCTGATACAGAAGCAAAACGGGTGGCAGGCAATTATAGTATGATTTTGACTATGCAACAAGTACCTGTTAGTAAAAATTTGAGTTTTGAGTCTGCAGAAAAGGAAAAACTAGAACAAATGGGAGCTAAGGAACAAGATGGGAAGTACATATTGCCAGATGGGAGAGAAGTCTTGCTGAAGGGCATAGCACTCGAAATATTTTCAAAAATACACAGTAAAACACACTGGGGAACCCAGGCGTTAGTTGATCATTTCAATCAACAGTTTGCCTGTATAGGCGTATATAACATAGCAAAGACAGTCACGGCAGCCTGTGAGACCTGTCAAAAGGTTAATCGAAGCAACATGAGACAAAAACCTCTTGGAGGACGTTCCCCAGCGTACAGACCTTTCTCACACATACAAGTGGACTTTACTGAACTACCTAGGGTAGGGCGTTACAAATATTTATTAGTAATGGTGGATCATTTAACACATTATGTTGAGGCTTTTCCTACCTCCAGGGCAACTGCTAACCAAGTTACTAAAGTGTTACTTGAACACATTATACCTCGATATGGAGTACCTGAAGTAATCGACTCGGACAGAGGAACACACTTTGTGTCAAAAATTGTTAGAGATCTAACAGAAAGCTTGGGTATTAAGTGGGAATACCATACACCATGGCATCCACAAAGTTCGGGAAAAGTTGAAAGGATAAATGGAGAAATCAAAACTATTTTGACTAAATTAATAATAGAAACCAAATTATCATGGATTAAGTGCCTACCCATGGCACTATTAATTCTCAGAACCAGACCCCGAGCAGATGTAGGAATATCAGCGTTTGAAATGGTGTATGGAATGTCTTATAGAATTGAAAGTCCACAAACAAATGTTTTAATTCGAGACCGTGTAATTAATGAATATGTTTCACAATTAGCAAAACATCGTAACAAGCTTTGGGAACATGGACTGATTGTGCAACGACCCCCGTTGGACTTAAAAATTCACAATGTTAAACCTGGGGATTGGATATTGATCAAAGTGTGGAAGGAAGAAACCCTAAAACCCAATTGGGAGGGACCTTATCTTGTTTTGCTTACAACAGAAACAGCTGTCCGAACTGCTGAGCGTGGATGGACTCATGCCAGTCGCCTTAAAGGCCCAGTGACGAGACCCCACTGGAAAGTAATCAGTACTCCAGGTGACACCAAGATAACCCTGAAAAGATAACGTAATGATAGAGACTTTATTTGATTTTTTTGTTGCATTACCTTTTGGTATAAAGTGTGTATTGCTGTTTATATTTGCTATAATTATTTCTCTTTTTATCTATTATATATGGAAGCATACAAAGTGTGTTGAAGGAAATTGCTAAACATATGCAACCACACAATAGTGAATATAGAAGATATGCTGATGTAAATAATATATGTACTCTAGATATACGAATTAGATGTAATAATTTGAACTGCAATTGTTATCCATTTGCTTGTTTTAGGTGTAAGGTATGTCAGGATAAATGGTGGACACACTGTGAATATGGATACCCTCCAATAGGAGTTTGCACACAGTGTTGGAAAATCCAAAGAACTCTCACTGAGTGGAAATTAAAACAATTAGAGTCTAAACAAGAAATTATTCGGGAATCCCATGAGTGGTGGGAGATTTTTGCCAAAGGAATAAACCCTCAATATTATTGTTACCACTCCAACGAACCAGTCCCCTTTGTGGCTGAAATCTTGGCTATAACGTGCAGAAGGGAAGTACTAACTGTGTCTTGCTTTGCCCCATTAGTTAAAGCTGCAAAGTGGGAAGCCTGTATAAACAGGCAGAAATCCCGAAACAGCTGTTCTCCTGAAGAATTCCCTTGCTGCCGAGAAGATGGTACACCCCGTGACTCGAAGCAACCGAGCCGACGGGCAAGGCAGAGGAGGAACAAAATGTGGAGAAAAGACCCAGAACAATGGGACGCAAAGGCAGCAATGGCCGAACTTCCCCAGGACTGGTAAAAATATACTTAAATTGGCAAAATTGACAGACACCCTTTTTCCTGGTATACCGTTAGTTTTGTTATTGATAATAACCCAAGCAAATGGAAACCCTCATGAACCTATGAACTGGACAATAACAAACATAAACTATCCAAATAATCCAATCCAAGCACAAGCTACACCGGGCCCAATTAGTTTCAATGTGAGTTTGCATGACCTAATTACTGAAGAAGATCATAAATATGAGGCGGATATATGTAAACCAATTTATATATGTCCAGCATCAAACCCTGGTAAAGTATACTGTAACTCTCCAGGTCATTATTACTGTGCATATTGGGGGTGCGAAACATGGGCATCTGAGTGGTCCGCACCTGGAGACCAATATCTAGAAATAAAGTGGTCACCGGAAGGATGCAAGAGACCTAAATTACACGGAGACCGGTGGGGTCATTGCTTAAGTAAACCGAATCCTTGTGTGGGCATCAATATAACTATAAAAAATCCTGCTCAGGACTTTTGGCTGGCAGGGAAATATTGGGGAATTAGATATTGGGAAACAGGTGCAGACAGAGGAGGAATTTTTCGAATAATGAAAAAATCGATGCCCCACGATCCCCTACCAGTAGGACCAAATCTGGTCCTGAATTCACCCACTTTCTCTGAAGAAAAGGTTGCCCCCGCAAGTGTCGCAACCACTTCTCCAAACTCCCTTTCGGAAACAACTAATGACATTATATCCAGGAATCTAGAGTTGTCAGAATCCAAAGACCCCTTATGGAATCTAATGCAAGCCTCTTATCGTGCCCTTAATGAAAGCAAACCAAATTTAACTGAAGAATGTTGGTTATGTTATAATGTTAAACCACCATATTTTGAGGCAATTGGAAAACCAGGTAGGATTCAATGGTCTAATGGTTCAAACCCACGAGAATGCCCATGGAATGACCAGAGGAACCATACGCAAGGAATTACTATTCAATTAGTAACAGGTCAAGGAAAATGTATAGGTACAGTGCCCAAAAAGTATCAGCCTTTGTGCAACCGAGCAGTCACTATAGAGAAACACACTATAGAGAAACACAAGAATAAAAATGATAAATGGGCTATCCCGACACCAGGAGCTAAATGGGTTTGCTCAGACATCGGAGTAACGCCTTGTCTATCCCTAAAAGTGTTTAATCAATCTCAGTTTTGCGTACAGGTGATTATTGTTCCTCGTCTGATCTATCACACCTCTGAGGAGGTGTTACGCCACTTTGAAGGAGACCTGAATAGACAAAAACGAGAGCCAATTACAGTGGTAACCTTAGCTACATTGCTGATAGCGGGCGGAGTTGGAGCAGGTACAGGCATAGCCTCCCTAGTAAAAGGTCAGGAATTACAAAGTTTACAGATGGCTGTAGATGAGGATTTAGCAAAAATAGAACGATCTATCCAAAATTTAGCCACTTCAGTAAAGTCTTTATCAGAAGTAGTACTGCAAAATAGAAGAGGATTAGATCTATTGTTCCTAAAGGAAGGAGGGTTATGTGTAGCTCTCAATGAAGAATGTTGCTCTTTTGCTGACCATACGGGAGTAGTCCAGGACACTATGTCTGAACTCCGGAAAAGGTTAGATCAACGTAAGAAAGATCGTGAGGCGGGCAGGTCATGGTATGAAAATTGGTTTAATATTTCACCTTGGCTAACCACTTTGTTGTCTGCTTTAGCAGGACCACTTATTATGTTGATTCTGGGACTTATATTTGGGCCTTGTATATTACGCTATATTTTACACTTTATTAGAGAATGGTTTGACATAGCTAAACTGCTTATTTTAACTACGAGGTCTGGGGCAAAATATAAGAGTGTATCTATTGATGAGAATGAAGATTGTTGTGAATGTGTTATGCCATGTGGGGGCTACGCCTATTGTAATTGTGAGGTATTACCTTGTGAGTGTTATGATAAATGTTGGGATTGTGGGAAAAAGGTTTATTTGCAGTGCCGAGAATGAAAGCAGCGTCTAATAAACAATAATAGGATAAAAAGAAAAAGGGGGGATTGTGAGAAACTATAGACTAGGGTATTGTTTATTAAGATATATGTTAAGCCCAAAATAAAGGTTAGGCAACAAAAAGATATGAAACCGCTTATGCAAATAGCCACCGGACACAGCTTACGTGAGATAAGATAACCGCAAACGCTTACACCAACTAAACCAGAGACCGCTTATGCTAACATAAGATAACTGCAAGATGTTCCAGGAACTGGCAGAAATAAGACAAACCACTCCATATAAGGACATAGGAGTAGAGGGGTCAAAAGAGGAAGACTTCTTACTTCGGCCTCAACGACCACCAGGAGGCAGAAAACGACCCCCTAACAACAACTGAAGCATGCGCAGAGTACCTCCACTACCTCATGAACACGGAAGTAAAGATGTATAAAAAGGGGGCTGTTTGAACTGATCAGCACGGCAGTTGGCGGAGCGCAGACTCCCCTGTCGTCCAGCGCTGTTTTTGCTCATATTCTACTTGCTATAATTAATACAATTTTAATTGGATTATGATCCGTTGTGGTCTCAATTTATAACAGATCTGACCAGAGTGTGTTAAAACAAATTTGTTAAAGCATTCACTGCATTGGTTTAATAGTCACTAGTCACAATTTTGATTTATTTGCTCTCAGAGTTGTGCTTGGTCTCAGAGTTGCAATATGTAACACCTTACTTGCAGTAGGTATTCCCTGTGGTGATGTTTATCATTATTAGGGCCTGGGCTAAGATTATAATTTTGTTGTACTTTGTAACACTGGCTTATGAAATGATAGAAATGCCGATCATGAAGCTAATCTGGTATGTGCAGTCAGCAATGCTGTCACCTCTGTACTTAAGGAGTCAGCTAATAGGAATTATTAATACTTACACTTTTTGCTTTTTCTCGGTCAATATATGGGGGAGATATCTTCCTACACCTTGCTTCCTTTCTTCCCTCCTTCCTTCTCCTCCAGATTGATTACAGTAGCATTTGAGAATTTTAAAGTTTTTTAATATCCTTTGAATACCCTTGAAACCAACCTGGTCCTTTTGCTAGGAACCAGCATGTTGCTGAATATGTTTCAGACCCTGTTTAAGGTTAAACAGCTATGTAAGAATACCACCAGGAAATCTTCCCTGAGGCTGGATAGTTATGAGTGGCAGGGTGTGTGAGATAGTATGATCAAGGACCTAGGACAGCAGGCACCTACAGTGTTTTGGGATATGACCCCTGAAGAGGTGCAGGATCCAGAAAAAAATAGTAAAATATTTGAAAAATGTATGCAGGCCACAGTTTGCTTTTACTTGGAGGGGCATCCAGTACACTTGGAATCGACTGCCCCAGGGGCAGCTCTACCATCTGCCATGGACTGATCCAGACTGCATGGGAACAGGGTGATGCTCCAGAACACCTGCAATACATTGATGACATCATCGTATGGGGAAATACGGTGGAGGAATCTTTTGAAAAGGGGAAGAAAATAATCCAAATCCTTCTAAAGGCTGTTCTTTCCATAAAACAATGTAAGATCAAGGGACCTGCACAGGAGGTCCAATTTTTAGGAATTAAATGGCAAGACAGACATTGTCAGATCCCAATGGATGCGATCAACAAAATAACAGCAATGTCTCCACCAACTAGCAAGAAAGAAACTCAAGCTTTCTTAGCTGTTGTGGGGTTTTGGAAAATGCACATCCCAAATTACAGTCTTATTGTAAACCCTCTCTATCAAGTGACCTGGAAGAACAATTATTTCAAATGAGGCCCTGAGCAACAACAAGCATTTGAACAAATTATAGAGGAGATAGTTCATACAGTAGCCCTTGGACCAGTCTGGACAGGGCAAGATGTAAAAAAAGCGCCCTACACCACAGACAGGTAGAATGGTCCTATCTGGAGCCTCTGGCAGGAAGCACCAAGGGAGACTCTTTGCCCTTTCTCTCAAGGAGAATATAAAAGAAACCATGGCAACAGGGTACTCCATGGTTTTACCTGAGACCATGGAGAGGACATGAGAAAGGGGGATGGAAAACCTACATCAATCCAGAGGCACAGGTACATGACTTGCAAGGAAAACCAACCACAAACGGGTTTTTTTCCAGGAGAGTTGCTGCTCCAATCTCCAGTGGGCAGTTTCCCAGACAGAGTGGAAAGGCTGATCTCACACCTGATCCTATGGAAAGGAATTCTAACCCATTTCTGCAAGAAGTGGAGAATCCTATAGCCAAGACCAGAGGAGCCCTGCCTCCAGCCAGGTGCAGGAGAGGGACAACTGGGTTTACTGGACTGAGTGGATCAGCTGGCTTGGCATGTCAGACCCACATATAAAGTTCTAGTAGACACTTTTGTACATTGCGTCCTAAAGCCATCAAGCTACCCAGGGGCAGAACCCATTTGCATTTCCAAAGTGACAGACTTCTGGTAAAGCTGCCTTGGAGATAAAAAAAATTAAGCAGCTGCCTACATTGCCTGGTGTCTCAGAGGACCCTTCAGCTGTGGGGTTACTGAAGGCTGAAGAACAACAGGTGCCAATTGCGACCACAACAGTGCACCAGTGGCAATATCACACCAAATGAGACTCCCTCATTCACATCCATAAACTGATTTGTCATCTGGAGATCTAGTGATTCAACAGGACCAGCTCACCCTTTGATAGCCAAATGTGCTAAGTACAAAACTCTACTGGAGACTAATAGCAGATTATCATGGCCTGAACAAAGTCACGCCACCACTGCGTGCTGCTGTACCAGACATGCTAGAACTTCAATATAAACTGAAGTCAAAGGCAGCCAAGTGGTATGCCATGATTGATATTGACAATGCATTTTTCTCAATGCCTTTGCAGCAGAGAGCAGGCCACAGTTCACTTTTACTTGGAGGGGTATGTAAATTGTGAAAAATGTGCTCTACACTGCAGCCAGGGAGAATGGTCTTCCCTGGAGCTTCTGGCAGAAAGCTCCAGGGTAGACTTGTCAAGGTTTAAGCACAGCTGGTAACTCAGAACCCCACAGCTGCTCGCTCACTCCCTCCCCCCTTATTCCTCACCCTGCTCCCAGAGGGATGGGGAGGAGAATTGAAAGAATGTAAATCCTACAAGTTGAGATGAGAACAATCCAGTAACTAAGGTATAATACCAAGCTGACCCCATGGCTTTTGGAGTCAGGGATATAGAGGATCCCAGGCCCACTACATCTGAAAAAGAGATACTGGCAGATTACAAAGGGGTTTGAGCTGCTTCAGAAGTGATTTCCACAGCTACTCCTGGCACCCCAGTTGCCCATGCTGGGCTGGATGTTCAAAGAGAAGGTATCCTCTACACATCATGCAGCTGATGCTACATGGTTTAAGTGGGTTGCAGTGATCATACAAGGAGGTCAAATAGGAAATGCCAGTCATCCAGGAATGTTGGAAGTGACCATGGACATGCCATAGGGCAAAGATTTTGGAATGTCACCACAGTCCATGTCACCAGAGGAGGAGGTGACGTGTTGAGGAGACCCCATTGTCTAAGGAAGTAGAAGGTAAATCTACCCAGTTCACAGAGACAAAAGCCATCCAGCTGGCCTTGGACATTGCTGAATGAGAGAAATGGCCAGTTCTCTATACTGACTCATAGATGGTGGCAAATGCCCTGTGGAGGTGGCTGCAGCAATGGAAGCAGAGTAACTGGCAGTACAAAGGGAAAGCCATCCAGGCTGCTGCACTGAGACATGGTATTGCTGCCTGGGTGCAGAACCTGGTGCTGAAGGTATGCCACATAGATGCTCATGTACCCAAGAGTTGGGACACTGAGGTACACCGGAACAACCAACAAGTGGATAAAGCTGCTAAGAGTGAAGTGGCTCAGGTGGATTTAGATTGGCAACATAAGGGTGAATTATTTTTAGCCCTGTGGGCCCATGATACCTCAGATCATCAAGGAATAGATGAAACATATAGATGGACTCGTGATCGAGGTGTAGACTTGACCATGGACACTATCACCCAGGTTATTCATGAATATGATATGCTCTGCAATTAAGCAAGGCAAGTGGCTAAACTCTCTGGTATGGAGGACGATGGCTGAAGTACAAATATGGGGAGGCCTGGCAGATTGACTATATTATACTCTCACCAACCAGTGGAAGCAACCACCGGATGGCTGGAAGCATATTCTGTGCTCCATGCCACTGCCTGAACATTATCATGTGCCTTAAGAAACAAGTCTTGTGGTGACATGGCACCCCAGAAAAAACTGAGTCAGACAACAGGACTCATTTCTGGAACAACCTCATAGACACTTGGGCCAAAGAGTATGGCATCGAGTGGGTATATCACATCCCCTACCATGCACCAGCCTCTGGGAAAATCAAATGGTACAATGGGCTGTTGAAGACTGTGTTGAGAGCAATGGGTGGAGGGACCTTAAAAAATTGGGATACATATTTGGCAAAAGCCACCTGGTTAGTAAACACTAGGGGATCTGCCAACCAGGCTGACCCAGCCCAAACAAAACCTTTATGTACTGTAGAAGGGGATAAAGGTCCTATAGTGGGTATAAAGACTATGATAGGGAAAACAGGATGGGTTATTCCTGACTCAGGCAAACACAAACCCATTTGTGAGATCACTTTTGTTCAAGGATCTGGGTACATTTGGCAAGTAATAGGGGAGGCTGGGGAAGTCTGGTCTGTACCAAAGGGGTACTTGATTTTGGGTGAGGATAGCCATTGCATTAAGAGTGCTGAACACTGGATATTATCATTTGCATAGCAGCTATATGCCCATCACCACACTAGGCACCTCATATCATCTCTGCCCCTCCAGATTTGAGGATCTGAACCCATCTCCATTCTGATCACCATATTAATGAAGAATTAACTTTGATGAAACTAGACAGAAGTAGCAGTGATGGAATCTGAATGGGCTTCAGCATACAACAATCCAACACCATACACCATCTTTCCTCCCCTGGAGGAAATAGGAGAAGCCTGAAGTCATAGACTAAAAGAACTCAACAAACTTTTCTAGGGTTGTTCCATAGACTAAAGGAATAATATCTGCATGTATACAGCAAAAGACAGGAAAGGTGATGGTGTACTGGGAAGTTTGGGACCTGGCAAAAATGATCTGGAATTAGATGTGGATACTGTCCTGGTTTTGGCTGGTTTCTCCCCTTTCATTTTAAAGCTATTCCCCCTTGTCCTGTTACTACATGCCCTTGCAAAAACTTCCTCTCCAGATTTCATGTAGGCCCCCTTTAGGTACTGGAAGGACACCTATAAGGTGTCCCCAGAGCCTTCTATTCTCCAGAGTGAACAAGCCCAACTCTCTCAGCCTGTCTTCACAGAGGTGTTCCAGCCCTCTGATCATCTTCATGGCCCTCCTCTGGACTTGCTCAAGCAGGTCCATTTCCCTCTTGTGTTGGGGGCCCCATATCTGAACACAGTACTCCAGGTGGGGTAAATCACCTCCCTCCATCTGCTGGTCATGCTGCTTTTGATGCAGCCAAGGACACAGTTGGCTTTCTGGGCTGCAAGCACACACTGCTGGCACATGTTGAGCTTCCCATCAACCAAGAGCCCCAAGTCCTTCTCCTCAGAGCTGCTCTCAATCCATTCTCCACAGAGCCTGTAGTTGTGCTTGGGATTGCCCCAACTCAGGTGCACTTGGCCTTGTTGAACTTCATGAGGTTTGCACTGGCTCACTTCTTGAGCCTGTCAAGATCCCTCTGTATGGTATCTCTCCAGCATGTCAACCACACCACATGGCTTGGTGTCATCGGCAAACTTGATGAGGGTCCATTCAATCCCACTGTCCATGTTCCTGACAAAGATGTTGAACAATGCCGGTCCCAATACCAACCCCTGAAGAACACCACTCATCACCGGTCTCCACTTGGACATCAAGCTGTTGGCCACAACTCTGAGGGTGAACATCCAGCCAATTCCTTATCCACTGAGTGGTCCATCTGTCAAATCCATACCTCTCCAGTTTAGAGACAAGGATGTCATGCGGGACAGTGTCAAATGGTCTGCCACAAGTCCAGGTAAATTATGTCAGTCACTCTTCCCTTATCCACCAGTGCTATGGCCCCATCATAGAAGGCCACCAAATTTATCAGGCCCAATTTGCCCTCAGTGAAGCCATGTTGGCTGTTGCAGATCACCTCCTTCTGCTTTAGCATACTCTCCAAGAGGATCTGCTCCATGATCTTGCCAGGCACCAAGGCAAGACTGACTGGTCTTACTTTTTGCCCTTTTTAAAAATGGGGCTATATTTCCCCTTTTCGATTCAATAGGAACTTCATCAGATTGCCACGGCTTCTCAATGGATAATAATGGATAACGGCTTGGCAACAACATCATTCAAATCCCTCAGGACTCGCAGATGAATCTCAGGTCCCATGGACTTGTGCACCTTCAGGTTCTT